GTGGGATTTCAAGCTTCATTATCAGTTTTGAAATTAATTTTGGCACTTGAACTGTAAATAAATAAATAAATAAATGCCTCAGAATGCGAAGCGCTGAGCCTCCCTGCTGAGCCATCTCTCCTGGCAAAAGGCCGCTCCCAGCAATGCTGATTGCAAACTGCACAGACTCGCTGTTCCCTTTTCCCCATCTCCGGCCTTTGTCTGGTGGTAGATTTTACCTCATCTCTCTCATTCTGCTCTTCTGATGAAAGCAATGGTGACCTCTTTTTCCCCATCACGCCTCCAAATATCTGGATGCAGTGGCATGACCTGACATCTCCAAAATATCCTGTCATACGAGTTTCACAGTGCTTAATGAATAATAAAAGATTAATTGACCAGGTCCAAAAGTTCCCTGTGCTTTACTACTGACTTATGCTGGGATGTGACCTCTGAAACCCAGCAAGGCATCTCCTTCAGGTGCCTTTCCCAGGCTGGAGTTAGCCATGGAAAACAAGCTCTTTCTGTAGCCAGGACATACAAGTTTGTACATAATACATTCATCATTGCACCACCTTTCCCTGATGCATGGGATTAGACCTTCAGGCTGAGCACCTCTAAGAGCAGACAACCAGGGCATTTTGCGCAGCATTTAATGCAAAAAAAAAACTGTCTGAGAGTTCTCATATCTGTTTTCCTAGGACCTCTGAAGTTAGCAGGCATTTCCATTGCCTGCAACAAAGCCCGGCCATGTCTTCTGGGTGTGTGACTGTCAGCTCAGCGCTGCATGCTGAACAGCTCTGGCCCTCGTGGTGGGGTTCCCTGGCTCGCCCTGTGGCCACTGCAGCAATGCAGCCAATGGGAAGGAATAAACAACTGTTCATCAGTCTCCTCACTGACCCTGCTCAGTCTGTTGACATCTCACAGCCCAGAAATGGGATTGTCTGAAGCATAATCCTTGCATGAATAGCTACTGATTAACAGCTAGGGCAGCTGATCATTACAGCCATCCTCAGTGTAATGAATGTTGTATAGAAAATGGAAAAAAAAAGCTCCAAGAATTTTCTGCTGGTGTCTGTGATCTTTGTAACACAGCGAGAGAAAAAACCCCTGATTCTAGGTAAGAGAATTTCTGAAGGTATCCCTGCAGGAAGGTTAAAAGTGTTCTGTGTTTTTCAGCATGTAACATGCAACACCTGAAAACCACCTTCCTGCAGCAAATTGAGCTAGGGCTCTGGTACAAAAATTAACCCCATCTTTGGAAGGACTCAGAACCAGGACATAACATAAAGGTTTTTGCAGAATGGAGGTAGCTATGCCTGAATACAGCTCCTCTCCATCACCTCCCTACGGCTATGGCGAAGATGGCCCTGTGCACACTTAATTTTATGCATGTCTATGTTCTTATGTCCTTATGTGTATCTTAATCCAGCCTCACAGGATGTATACTGCCAGCATTCAAAATACTGCCAGAGCCTCATAATTTTTCACTTTAGTGAAAATGCATTACTCTGCTTGATTCTCCTTTTTCTTAACAAGTGCATCTCTGTTGACTGCCATGGAGGCCAGATTTGGAGGCTTGTGACCAAGGCTAAACTCTGCCATACAGTGATTTCAGCCCATTTCTGGAAGGATGCAAGCAGCACAGCTCTGTGTAGGAAATGTATATCTTTGGATAGAGGGAGACGAGCATCACAAGTGCCTTCATTACAGTAGGTTATGCGTGCCTGCTCGTGTCAGTAGGCATACTGTGAAAGTGTGTGTGTTTTAATTAACTGAGATGCAAAAATGGAAATCAGCGTTTCTCTGAAACTCTGAAGAGTGATGTGTGTGGACCAAGGAGGTGTCAGTGCCAGGACTGGGATGGGAGCAGCTCTTCTCAGATGCCGGAATGTTTTTATATTCAGAAGTAGGGCAAGGAAATAGTCCAGCCTTTTCAGCCATTGTTTTATTAGTGCCAGAGAGGAGGATTCATGACTGAGATTGAGAGCGTGGAAGGAGTTAAAAATACTGAGTTTCCTTTGGACTGTGAATGATCTGAGCTTTGGTAGAAGGGGAAAGGAGTGGTGAGACAGCTGGGGAAAGTGGCCAGTTATAGAAGGAAAAATACTCGGCTAAATGGTTCCCTTTTGATATATTAATACCTCCTTCAAGGGCTTATTTGAGGAAAAACAGACTTAAGAAAATTAGTTAGGATTTAAATGGACTCGATTGTCTTCAAAGATATTTAAATAATTCCTAAATTAATCTTTTTAGTTGAACTCAGAGACGCCACTAATCTCTGAGCACAGGGCAGACTGAGGAGGTGGAGACCAGTGGGAAGATTGAACAGATGAGTACAAGGGAGAAAGGAGGCAAAAGAGGCCTGCCAGGTCAGGCCTGGCCATGTCTGAAAGGGGTAACAACTCAAAGGGGGCATGAAGTGGCTTCAGAGAGTGCCAGATCTGCATGGTGTCAGGGCCTCAGTGAAAAAAGGAAGGCTTGGAAATTCAAGGTGGTCAAGCAAAGTCTTGAATCCCCATGCATGCTGCTGCTGGATGTTCTGCACATGGTTACCCTTACTGCTTTGCTCTGTCCCATCACTCAGTGCTGCTGATGACCTCAGGAGTGGTCATCAGTGACCACTCAGTGAGCATCGTCAGTGGTTCTTTCATTTTTGAGCACCTCTGCAGACTCTATCTCTGCGCAAGTGAGAGTTGAGAGCCCGCAAAGCTCTCCAGATGGCACGGGCAAGGGAAGGTAGCACTAGCAAAGACAAGAAAGCCAAGATGTCTACCTCTTGTTATCTACAACAGAGAATTATGGTTTCTTATTTCACAGTTTTCATTTGTAACTCTGTTTTTAATTTGTAATCAGAAGTAGAACCTTTCATTCTGGTGAAGTAAATTTGCCCTGTGTTTACTCTGAGACCTGTCTAGGAACAACGATTATAGGAGAATCTGACAAGCCCTAGGGACTTTGCAGAGGAGTAATTTATTGCTCTTCATTACAAAGCAATAAATCCATGTACAGTAGTGAGTAAGCAGAGAGTCTGAGTTGCCTCATCCAAGCTGCGCTTGTGGCTTTGAGAAGCTGAGGGTGTTTTTCCCAAGAACCAAAGGTCAGCTGAAGATTGATAACAAGTGCTTATGTTGGAGAGAAGAGGGGCAGTGGGCAGGTGGCTGGCAGCAGGTGAGGAGAGGCATCTTGTGACACTGGTCAATGGTCCAATTCAAGATGCTGGGCTAAAACTGAGGCAAATCTTTTATTCAACAAAAATGCAGCATTAAAACAAACAGAGCTGTTTGTTGGTTTAGGATAAATTTAATAAAGCTGAGTCAGCAAAAGCTAGGGCCCTTTCCATAGTGAGTGTCCTGCAAGTCCTGTGTCCAATTTGCCAGGTCTCATGGATATCGTCAATGCTGCAGTGCATCCCCAGTGGCTGTAGACGTCTATGTTTAGGCATCTGAGCCAAGCAAGGCCTTAAATTTTCTGCATTTAAGCACATAACCCACAAAATTCTCGAGAGGCTCAGACCAATGAATTGTCCACATGGGAGATGTTGGTTTCTGCTCCATTTGTCTCCCTCCTTCTTGAGCTGCAGACTCTGTGCAGCACCCAGCGTAGTGCCCTGCCAGTCTCTTACCAAATTTCAGCAATCCAAATAATAAAGCGCAGTGTTCATTGCCAATCCTCTGCCTGGCTCCCTGTGGGGAGGTGGTGACTTGCTTGACTTTGATCATGCTGTAGTGATCATGAATATTTACAGCCTGCTCCTCTGCTGCTAGCTACAGACAAAAAGCTCTGGAAATGCCAGGAAACCCCGAGTGTCCCCTCTGCCACCTTGGCTTCTCAGAGTAATTCCTTCTCCTCTCTGGTGCAGATCAAGTTGTTAGCATGCAAGGCAGTGCCAGCACAGACTGTACCGAGAGCAGAGTGACACCGATGTGTGCAGAGGAAGGCTGTAACGAGCTGAAGTTTGGTAATTAGGCTCTTCACCACAAGCTGCAGTAAAGGGACATTCAGGGACAGATTTCTCAGGGAGAAGAGGGGAAAGAGGGATGGCAAAGGGGGAGCAGAGTCCTTTTGGCAGCACTCTTTAGTATGGTACATGCTCAGGATCATATTCTGTACTGTGTACCAGTGGGAGGCAGCACAACCACTGCAATGCCCACACCTACCTGCAGCACCTTCAAGGCAAGTGGACCCATTTACTGTCCTGTGCCCTTGAAGAAGTGTCATTTGCTCATAGAAAGCATCATTTGTCCTCAAACACCGCCCTGGCATCAGTCAGTGTGCCCTTGTGTTCCCCTCTAAATGACATGATGGAAATACAAATCTTGAGGTAAGAATGTGGAAAGGTTGAGTGCATGGGGCAACAGAGACTCAGCAAAAGATGAAGAAAATTTGTACCTGTGCAGCCAAAGGTGCCATCACAGAACACAGAGGGGAGGAAAGCAGGGCACGGGTACCGCAGCTCAACTGAGTGTCAGATTTCTGTCTGTGTGTGTCCTTTGGTTTGTGACAGTGACCATCCAAGGCAGGACTGCATTCTGCCATTTGGTACAGCCTCTGGTGCTTGGCTGAGGCCTCACGGTGCTGCCCATCACTCACTGGTCTAAGGCAAAGCTGCCAGGTCACACCCTGGCACCATTCTGCTGTGTGCCATGGAAGAACCTTCTGTTGAGGGCATGTTGTACTTCCCATGCTCTCATTCTGCACAGGGTCTGGATACTTCCCTCAGTGTTATTTGCTGAGAAGAGATCCCCAGCTGAGCACTTCATACTCATCTCTGCTCCACAATGTAACCGGCTGAGGATAAGTTTAATGGTTAAACCAGGGGGCGGCTGTTTGGGGAATATAACAAAGGTGTCTGCAAACTCCCTGTGTGTTCAGTTACTCTCTTCTGCACCAAATTTATCTGCCAGGGCCTGGCTTGGTGTGAAGGAAGCAGTATGGGTACAGTCTAGCATGTGCTTGTCCATGGGTGGGCACCGTTTGTCACACGTCCTGCTAACTCCTCGTCTCTCTCCCCCACGCAGTACAAGCAAGTGGAGCAGTACATGTCCTTCCACAAGCTGCCTGCGGACATGCGGCAGCGCATCCACGATTACTATGAGCACCGCTACCAGGGGAAGATGTTTGACGAGGAGAGCATCCTGGGAGAGCTGAGTGAGCCCCTCCGAGAGGTAAGGAGAGGGCAGTGAACAGGCAATGCATGTTCCTGTCATTTTTGACAGCTGTGGAGTTCCCAGTGTGCAGTGTCCTGTCCCAGTGCTTTGCAGAGGACATCATCAGGTGATGGGAGCTTTTTTACTCACTCTGGAAAGCGCCTTGCTATTACCTCACACTTCCCTCTTCGCACAAACATGCACCACTGCCTGGTACAGCATCTCAGTGAGACCCTCCCCCTCCCACATGCTGCCTAATATTAAGCTGTACCTTGTATGTTTATACAAACCTCTACCAGTGTGCTGGCCTGATCTATGCCCCATCCGTCAGCTGTTCCAGCATGTGGAGTCAAAAGAAAGGAAGAGCAGGGCCCACACTTGAAAGGAGTCTCTAACAGAAACCCCCCTTCCCTAGCTGAAGCCTAGCAATGCAAGTTCTCCCTAGTGTATGGCTCCAACATATTAGCCACAAGCAGTAGAAGTGGTCTTCCTCCTGTCTTCCTCACCTCCCTCCCCAGGTAATCTGTTTCCGTAGGAGAGAGGAGCTGAGGATCTACCAGCCATATTTTAAAACTCATTCTGCCAAAGTCTCTAAGGACAACCCTGAAAAGAACCCCAGTGAGGAGAAGACAGATATTTCCCCAGTCCTCTTTCTTCCTGCAACAGTCATCCAGATGCTCCTTCCCTGCTTAGCTGGCGAGTGTTGTGCTGAGGCTCTTCTCAGTGACAGCCAATGCCAGGACAAGGGGCAATGGGTGCAAGCTGGAGCATGGGAGGTTCAACCTGAACATGAGGAAAAGCTTTTTCACTGTGAGGGTGCCAGAGCATGGCCCAGGCTGCCCAGAGAGGTTGTGGAGTCTCCTTCTCTGCAGACATTCAAGACCCCCCCTGGACGTGTTCCTGTGTGACCTGGTCTGGGTGATCCTGCTCTGGCAGGGGTTGGACTGGATGAGCTTTCGAGGTCCCTTCCAGCTCCTAATATTCTGTGATTTACTCAATGTCACTTTGCTGCTGCTTCCTGAGTCTGAGCTGACATAGCACAGAGCAGTGCTTGTGCGGTGGAAAGTGCTGTCATACCCTCGGAGTGACACCGAGCCACTGGAGGAGGCAGAGCCCCTGTCTGCTCGGTGACAGCTGGATTGGGTTTTCTTTGTCTTAGGTTGATGATCCAGCCCATGCCTAGGTGACTAGTGGGCACCTCTACCTCCCCTCGCTTGACACTGTCCCCAGCTGCTCAGGATAATTATTTTTCTGAGCACCTTGGCACGTTTGTGCTGTTTAATATCTCATTGACAAGGAAGGGCAACAGAGAACATAGCGCTGCCAAGGTGAGTTATAACATTTTCCCAGAGAGGAGCACTAAGCTTTTTCATTCAGTGTTTCAGCAGTGCTGTGCACCTCTTTCACAGTCCAAGGTTTCCTGCAGAAAGAGGTCTACTGTGTGTATTTGGGAGGTTGGAGGGTATTGTCCCTGCTCAAAGAGAAAGCACATGGATGAAAGCAGTGAAGCGTGGTGTCAAGCTGTCAGCTTCAGCTCACACTGTTACCTGCTCTGAGCATCCAGAGCCCACTGCAGCCTGCACTGGGGGAGCCAGGCTAAGGGAACAGCTTTTTTTTTCATACTGTCTATACATTAGGTCAAGTGGGGGATCTTCATAGATTATTAGATGTTGACTAAACATGTTTATGTGTCCTTTCTGCTCCCTGTCCCATCTTTTGTCCCCCCTCCCTCTCTCTCTCTCTCTTTCTTTCACATCACATCATGGTCAGGAAATCATAAACTTCAACTGCCGGAAGCTGGTTGCCTCTATGCCGCTCTTTGCCAATGCAGATCCCAACTTTGTGACATCTATGTTGACCAAGTTGCGGTTTGAGGTGTTTCAACCAGGGGATTACATCATCCGGGAAGGCACCATTGGCAAGAAGATGTACTTCATCCAGCATGGCGTGGTGAGCGTCCTCACCAAAGGCAACAAGGAGACCAAGCTGGCAGATGGCTCCTACTTTGGAGGTATGTGTCAGTGAGTCACCTTTACACAGCGATACCCACTTTGTCCTGGATGCACAGGGATGGCAGCACGTGGAACTGATGCCCCAGGCACCTCCTCCTCTACCCTCGTCTCTGTTCATCTCATCTATCTTGCATCTTCCAATAATTGTGCAATAGTTGTGTGACTGCGAGTTATAGGCAATGCAGGAGTCTAGATAATAAATAATAACAAAATGGAGAGGGGAAACTTAGTTCTTGTAGATTGATTTCTTTTTGCCTCAAGCAAACTGACAGATCTGAGAAGCTGAGAACCTACAGGGGAAAAAAAAAGAGCATTCTCAGATCTACAAGCACATTTATAGTGTTGCCTGGTCCTGCTGTCTGGCATCTATTATACAAGATACCATATAAGCACAGAGGAAAAAACATAGTCCTTCATCTCCCCAGCCTGTAGCTCAGCAAAATGTGGTGAAGGTCACCAGGCAGGTGTAATGTATCAGCAGCAGAGCTCTGGAGCAGTGAAACTAGCGTGAGGTCAGAAAAGACTGTAAAAGATCGAGAATATTGCTCTTATGAGTAACACACAGACACCCCTCCTATCAGAACCCCACAGAGACCTCACTGACAGCCCGAGACAGACAGCACTGAAGTAAAAGCACTGAACGCATCACAATTAAAGGCCTTCTGAGAGTAGTGGTCAACAGCTCGATGTTGAGATGGAAAACAGTGACAAGTGGTGTCCCTCAAGGGTCTGTACTGGGACCAGTGCTGTTTAATATCTTCATTAATGACACTGACAGCAGGACTGAGTGCAAGTTTGCTGATGATACCAAGCTGGGTGGTGAGGTTAACATGCCAAAGGGAAGGGATGCCATCCAGAGGGACCTGAACAAGCTGGAGAAGTGGGCCCAGGTGAACCTCACGAGGTTCAATGAGGCCAAGTGCAATGTCCTGCACCTGGGTAGGGGCAATCCCAAGCACAAATACAGGCTGGACAGAGAATGGCTTGAGAGCGGTCCCAAGGAGAAGGACTTGGGGGTACTGGTGAACGAAAAGCTGGACATGAGCCACCAATGCCCCCTCACAGCCCAGAAAGCCAACCACATCCTGGGCTGCATCAAAAGTGTGGCCAGCAGATCGAGGGAGGGGATTCTGCCCCTCTGCTCTGCTCTGCTCTGGTGAGACCTCACCTGGAGCACTGTGTCCAGTTCTGGGGTCCCCATCATAAGAAGAACATTGAGCTGTTGGAGCAGGTCCAGAGGAGGCCATGAAGTTGATCAGGAGCTGGAGCACCTCTCCTACGAGGACTGACTGAGAGAGTTGGGGCTGTTCAGCCTGGAGAAGAGAAGGCTTCAAGGGGACCTTATTGCAGCCTTCCAGTTCCTGAAGGGGTCCTACAGGAAAGCTGAGGAGGGACTTTTTACAAGGGCAGGTAGTGACAGAATGAGGCGGAATGGTTTTAAACTAGAAGAGGGGAGATTTAGACTAGATACTAGGAAGAAACTCTTCACTGTGAGGGCGGTGAGACACTGGCACAGGTTGCCCAGGGAAGTTGTGGATGCCCCCTCCCTGGCAGTGTTCAAGGCCAGGTTGGACAGGGCTTTGGGCAACCTGGTCTGGTGGGAGGTGTCCCTGCCCATGGAGGGGTTGGACTGGTGATCTTTAAGGTCCCTTCCAACCCAAACCATTCCATGATTCTATGATTGTACTGAGAGGGGACAGAATGAAGCCTGCCTTTCCTTCTCTTCTGTAAGGCCTTTTTTTAATGAAAAATTCGCTATCATGCATTTCCTCCACTTTTCTTAGACTGGACTGACAGCCAGCATACAGCACAGAGAAGAGTGCTGGCAGTAGTAGAAGAGTAGCTGACTGCAGGGTAAATACACCAAGAGTTGGTAGATGCCACTAACTCGGCTTAGTCTGACAATCTGTAAGCTTTTGGCACATCTAAAAAAACTTTGAAAAGATAAATGTTCTGTGTGGGGAGATCAAAATTACTTCCAGGCACCAAAGCCACAGGTCAGCACAAAGCTTTTTCTACAAATCTAGAGAGAGAATTAGCTTCAATCAGAGCATGGCTTGACCTTCTGCTTCAAGTGCCCATGAGGAGCTGGAGAAAGACAGCTTCTCCACTCTGAATGCACAAATGATATCTTTGATAATCCACTGTAACAAAACTTGGCTGGCTAATTGTATCAGCAAATCCCTGAGGTGCAGCTGTGTGTAGCAGCTGCCACAACTGAGCCTCCATGTATTTTTTAATGTTACTGCATACACAGAATATTACCACTGTTCATGTTTTCAGTGGGAGAGCAGGTAGAGTTCAGCCAGAGAGGAGACTGGGTGGCAGGCAGGACTGCCTATGAGTGACAGTGCTAGGTCTTGTATCACCAGGGTGATGCTGTCTGTCCCCATGTTCTCAGGCTGGGTCTTTCCTTCCAGAAATTTGCCTGCTGACTCGCGGCCGGCGCACGGCCAGCGTGCGAGCTGACACCTACTGCCGGCTCTACTCCCTCTCAGTGGACAACTTCAACGAGGTGCTGGAAGAGTATCCCATGATGAGGCGAGCTTTTGAAACTGTGGCTCTTGACAGGCTGGACAGAATTGGTAAGTAGAAGATGTAAAGGTCTCCTTCCCATTACCTGCTGCCCTGGCACTCCCTCTCCAGACTTGGTCCTTAGTTGCCTTGCTGGAGTTGTGAGCTGAAGGAGATCCCAGTCTGATTACAGCTCCTACCAGGAGTCCCATTCACGATCAGTTAAATGCACATCCTTCTCTCTCTCTTTCTCACTCACTCACTCTTTCTGCCAGCTCCTGCTTCCATTTGTTTCCCTTCTCAAGAGTTCTTTTTTGAAGAACTGAGATCTGCAATCTGAGGCCATCAAGGCCATGCTGGTGAATTCACTAGATTTTGAATTTTAGCTTAGAATGTATAAACACCCACAGCCTCCTAGGTTCAAGAGAAAACTGACTAGGCTGCAATCAAACCTCAGTATCTCAGCAAAATATTCTGTGGCAGAAATAATCTTTCAGCATGGGGACTTCAGTGTTTTTTGGAGTGTGACCTGGTTTTGTATGACTGTATGGGTCATTGATATTAATTTTTTAATACTAGCAACCATATTGATGAGGAAGAATATTCTTCTCTGCTATATCAATGCATAATGAAATGCAGACCATGATGCTCCTTTTTGGGACAGGTTTTTTTCTGGTCATAGTTGACAAGGAACTGGAGAAGCAGAAAGTGCTGTAGGGAAGGGAAAGCTTTGAGTGCTTTCTGATCCTGAAGACACTCTTGTGCAAAGCTATCAGCAAAACATAACCACAAAACACTTGCCCAGCTGTCCATTAGAGTCCAACTATAAAGGTATTCGGTAGAAATAGGCACCTGATTGAACAAAGACATGGAACAATTTATAAAAATCTAACCTCCCACAACCCAAATTAAACACAATTACCCAAAGGATATTCTTGAAGTGTTATACCTCATAGAGACCCGTCCCAGGATGCTCTCCTGTCCTGTGTGAGATATAGCCTATGCTGCAAACAACCTCGTCTAACTACAGGAGACCAGGATAACATTCCTTGGTCACAGCCAGAGATGTTTGACACAGAGAGATTAAGTGACTTACACAAGGTCATGCAGGAAGCCTTTACAGAGCTGAGAAGCGAGCATTTCAGAGTCCCAGCCTAACCCCTTTAGCTTCTTATTAGACATCTCTTAAATCTGCATGCATTTTCATTGCTTTTCAGAATCGTAAAGGTCAGTGCAGGTCTGGATACGATGCGGAAGGTGAGGAGGATAATGGGGTGAAGGGGTAGGGAATAAGCTGGCAACCCAGCAAGGGGCATCCCATCTCTGGGTCTTTTCATGCCAGGAACATTGTATTCTGTGCATCTCATTACCTGCTGCAAATCAGAAAGTGTGACCCCTGAGGAAAGGTTATGAGCTAAATATGTAGAGTTTGGCAAAGCCCATGCTAATGAGGCCCCAGTGTAAGTGGCAACAGTCCCATCACTTGGGTTATTTAAATTAGACTGAACAAACCACTAAGAAAATGTCATGTCAGGCACAACCCGGGACGGGCCAGCTTGACATTATCTCGGATTCTTTGGCCGTAGATGGTCAGTGCTGCTCAGCTTCTTAGCCTGATGCCCTCTGTACAGGCAAGCAGAGTGTCCTGCGCTCCTTGTCTCTGCCCTGTGTGCTGCTGCACACAATAACTAAAATCTATGGAAAATTCTGAACCAGCATGAAGAACCTCACATGCTTTTTCCCTGAGGAGAAATTCCCTTTCACACACAGCTGCAAAATGTCAACATAAGGTCAGAAGGTGACATGGAGCAACTAGAATAACAGGCCCTTTGGTGCACAGCTCTGGCACTGCCCTCCTCTCCTTTTGCCATTCTGCTGACCTGAGACAACATCAGTGCCCCACATGGAAAATCCCAGTACTGCCTCTGTTTCCCTGGCAATCAGACTTGAGAGCTGCCTGTTTCCTCAACTCTGCATCCTCTACTATTGCAAAATGGCATCTTCATAGCACCTTCCAATGCTGTTGTGCCCAACACTCTTTGGGTGGAATTTCCCAAAAGAGCCTAAGGGAGTTAGGCACACCCTACTGAATTTGGTAGATCCCATGGAAATCCCTGTCTTTATAAATAAGGCATTTCTTCACCGTCCCCTGAAACACGCATTATCCAGAAAGAGCAGCGCAGGAGCTCTGTAACAGCATGTGAGTTTTTAGGAAAGTCAAGATTACTGCATTCTGCTGAGACTCTCAAAGTAGAGGGATTATTCTGGAGGATTGACGTTAAGCAACAGCAGTTCATAGAAGTCAGGTGTGAATAGAGGCAGGACTATATTTTTGATTCCTGGTACGTTCAGCTCAATGGGAGCCTCTTTCCAAGTCAGTGGTGCATTCACTAACTTCCTTCTACCCCGATGACAACGTGTCCTTGAGAAGCCTATGCCTCACCGAGTACATGAAATGATTCAGAGGGCTCTGTCACTGTTCTGTTATCAGGATGAGATCCATCCAGTACTACACAGAATCACAGAGTGGTTGGGATTGGAAGGGACCTTTGGAGATCATCGAGTCCAAACCCCCTGCCAGAGCAGGTTCACCTACAGCAGGTTGCGCAGGATAGCATCCAGGCAGATTTTGGATATCTCCAGGTATTGAATATCTGAATATTCATAGAGTCATTGAATCACAGAATACTAAGTTGGAAGGCACCACAAGGATCTTCTAGTCCAACCTTTCAAGGTAAAAGTATAGTTTAAATGAGATGAGTCAGCACCCTGTCAAGCTGACTCTTAAAACTGAACAATGTCAGGGAATTCACCACTTCCCCTGGGAGTTTATTCCAATATCTAATTGATCTCATGGTAAAAAAAATTTCTCCTGGAGTTCAATTGGAATTTCTTCAGAAGCAACTTGTGTCCATAATATTCCCCGTGTGCAGTGAGGAATCAAGACAGCAGGGAGAACAATCTCAGCCCATCCAGACACGGAGGTATTTGCAGGATTAACTGCTGCACAGAGAATTTGGAAAGCATGGTCTAAGCTTGTCTAGGTAGCAGGGAGACAGGATGAGAATGAAAGTCCTCATCCCTTGAAGCAACAGGAGCAGCACTGCTTGACTGGAGGTGTGATGAAGCATTCACTTTGCAGAGCAAATGCACCTTGAAAGCCTGTGGCTTGGAGAGGGAACACACCCCCTGAACTGTGTGTCCCCATTGCTTCCTGCTGGTAGACCGTCAGTGCAGCAGCATGGACGGCACAGCCCCCCAGGGAGCTACCTTGATTGCTCGGCAAAGAGTATGTTGATGTATCCTTGTAACCTCTCTTGTCAGTGGGAATTGATATTGGCATCTCGCCTGTGCCATGCATGGCTGGGGAAGAAGTTTCCCAGGTGTTTTGCACTTGCGGGAGCTCTTTAAAGACTGGAAGGGATTAGTCTCCGTGTATTGACTAAGGCTGGGATTCCACAAAGATTTGTGTCCCTGCTCAGCTCTCCTCTCTGAGTAACTTTGGACTCTACAGAACGCCTCAAGCTGTAGAATATCACACATATGACTCAGGGCCTGAAAATTGAGACTTGAGGAAATTGGGCTGATCACTGATTAACGATCATTTCATCACTGATTAAATCTTCCACTTCTTCTTGACCGAGCTGTAAATTTTTTCGAGTATTTGTGTGTTGATATGGTTTGTTCATGTCTTCAGTGAGTAATTCTTCGTCTGACGAGCATTTGTGAATTGTCCCAGTTTGTGATGTGTCAGTTACGTAAGTCGCATCATTCTGTTCCTGACAGGCTTTGAAACTGGCTTTCAGTGACCGCTGAAGCTTAAAATTAGATTTTCACAAGCATTTGCACTTGTAAAACACAACCACTCAAATGTTCATTGAAAGTAAATACAATATGGGTCGTGAATATTGTCAAATCAGAATTCACTGATGCATTCAAAAAATGGTGAGGGGCAATTATTTTCCGTTGTTCGTTGTGCTGTAATAAATACTATAAATGTCTATCATAAGGTTGCTTACCATCCATATCAAGGGCACTGGTGAGAGCTGAAAGCTTACTTAAAGCCAGAGGAGGTTAATTTTCATTTTCATCTGGAATTTTTCACCACACAGTTTGAAACGCATGCATTTTGAATGCCAGTCCATATGTGGTGGATCCCAGTTAACCCAGGATTTAAAATGCCTTGCATTTCCTCCAGGCATTGTAGATGCTGAAAAACCAAAGCAAAACTAAGACAACAGAGTACCAGTCTGTAAATATAATTATATCATATTATTGCTGTGCAAGAGTGTCTGTTCAAGATATTACAGTGCGAGAAGTTTTTAAAGCTTTCATCTAAACAACCCACAGAAATAGCTGTTCCTAAACTTTTTGACCGGGCACCCTATTTGTCAGCTCCTGAGCATGCTTCTGCAATTGCGATTCTGTTGGACTTGCAACCCCGCTTGCCTAGGTCATACTGGGGGATCTGCTGCCTCAGAGGAGGGGCTGGTCCGGGGCAGGCTAGGTGAGCTGGGAATGAGAAGGTCTGGGATCTGCGCCAAGCTCTGCCACAGATTCCCCGTTTGTCCTTGTCACGCCTTTGCTCCGTGCATCAGTTTCTCATCTCCTGCTAAAAAGAAAGAACGCTAACAAAGGTGGAGCTCAGTCTCTGAATGCTTCTGAGCTGCCTGCTCCCTTGTGGCAGGTGCTGTGCAGGTTCATAGAAAAAAAAACCAAAAAAGGACTGAAATATTTGGTTTATTTAATAAAATAAATATGTACTCAGCATAAATTTTAGACTGTATCCACGTTGTAGTGCCAAATTTGTTTACTGTACGCAGGTGAGTAACCCCTAAAGAGCTGCACATGTGAGATGAGCAAGCAGATTTGGTCATAAGGCTATATGGGTATATAGATATTTATGTATGCATCTTATTTGAGGCTGCTGATACAGGCACAGGTGGTGTAAAGATAAAAGTTCCTGTGGCCTATGCTAGAATGTGTGTACTTTGGGAGAAAGCTTTATTTCAAAATCACATTGAGCTCTGCCCAGCCCTTTAAGGACGTGAAATTTTATTATCCAAGTCCT